AAGGAATTTGAACAACGCGTTTCGACAAAGATTACCAAAGATCACGCGTTTACTGTGAACCTTCTGACCGATTTCGTAACGATTATTCCAGCTGGTGTTGAACTCGATGCACAAATACCAGCCGAGGATTCACCTGGTGAAGCGACCGGAGTCGGGCACCGCCAAGCCAATAACGGACCTCGAGAAGGAACCTCACAAGACCTTCATATTCCCAGAGGCGATATTCACCGCTGTCACCGCCTATCAGAATCAACTCGTAAGTCTCGCTTTGTTTCTCGCTACCGCTACATTCCTTTCGTCCTCGATCCTCCATCTCCTCCGCGTTCTCTTTCCTCCTTTCATTCTTGCTCACCCTCCCTTCCCTCGGTCCCTTTTCACTTTTTTTCTCACGCGATCCTCGAGCCGAGATCTGCCCTTCGCCGTGACGCAACGCGTCTCCCACGTGCCCCCGGGACTGGTTCTCCCTCGTTCGTCCGGCCTCCTTCGCATCGGATAATCGTTTCCTCTCTCCACCGATTGAAACGTACAAATTGTCCCCCTTTCTACCCGAAGTTCGGCCGCCACCGCGAATTTTCGACGTCCCCTCCGCGACGTTTAAATTACCGGCGGCCACCGCGTTCCTGACGCGGGCAGACGGTGGTTTTCCGCTTGGTATTGTCGGCGAACGCGCGACCGTTGGAACGCGAGAACGACGGAGAAGTACGGCGGTACAGGAGATATGGCCGTAGATTTAACCTCGCGACGATTCTTCTTGCGCGTGTCCGACCACGGCGATTCCTCCTCGGTCCGCAGCGCGAGAAGGGCGAGAGCGCAATCGTATTTTACGATAGTCGTTTAGCAGCGACCGCCTGGTGTGTGGTCCGACTCGCGGTCGTTCGCATTCCACCGGCGTCGCGATGCCCGCGGCACCACGCGATACCCGATTTCTCCAAGTGGAGATCATGCTTTCCGAACTAAAATACGCGCGTGGCACGTGAAACGTGCGTCGGGGAATTAAGGATCCGTGTTCTTAATAGTATGTCCAGTACAGTGCTGTGCACTGTACACGAACTGTGTCTTCAATCGAGGAATTGAAAGCTCGCGTTTAGGAATCCGTGACATTATGCATTTGCCATGCATTTTTCACGTCGCATTTTGAGACGATTTCAGAAACTTTTCACTGGACGAAGCATGCTCCTGTTTCAAAGGTCGCGTTCCAATGTTTTATAATTCGTTCGTGGTACGATAGTGTGATTTAAAAGGAGTTCCAATCGAATTTAAATTGAAGATCAATTCTGTAATAACATTTCGATACCTCACATCCGAGATTACTGATCGTCTATCAACAAGATTCTTCGGGAAAAGATTATAAAGCAAGGGGTTGAACGAACTGATGCTCCGTTCTTTCTTCGACAACGCACGATCGAAGGTACTTGACCGCCTCTTTTTGGGACGATGACGAAAGAAGCGAGCGCGAGGACCACGCCGCGGACCGAAAACGCTGTGATAACGACCAGAGGTGAGGACAAAGAACGTTCTGAGATGTGAAAAAGAGAGGATGAAGAAGAAACGTTGGCGTGCGAGGCCGAGAACAGTGGGAACGGACGTTGTCGGAGGTTGAGCGGCAGAGGGGGAAGGAAAGGAAAGGAAACGAAAGGGAGGAGAGAGAGTGCCGGGTCGCGGTAATTGCCGGGGCATCTCTTCGCACCTCATCATCGTCATCAACGGCTCCGACGTTCTCGTGGTTGTCGCGTACGACGAGGGTGGGTCGTCGAACGCGGACCACCCGTTAGCGCTTTGAAGCCACTCGATTGCCTTGCTTTCCTCTTCTCTCTCTCTCTCTCTGCAGCTTTCGTCGATCTTCGAGTTTTCTTCCTTTGTTGAAGAGGAAACCACTCGAGGAGATGCTCGAGTCATCGGAATCGCAAAACGACCAAGCTTTCGTTTTTCTTCTCGTACTCGCAGTTTGCGTCTTGTTCGGCAGCTGTGTTGCTCCACAACAACTACGACGACGATCCTGGTTGAGTTTCGCGCGAATCAGGATCCCGATCGCTTGGTTTGATCGACGAAAATGTAAAGAAGAGAAAAGAGACGTCGGGTTCCTCATGTGTTGAAAACAGAGGTTTCTATTTCACTTGTGCAATCGACTCTGAATCTCAATTTTTGAGACACTAATATTTCACGGGTAATTGTGTATTTGTATTACACGTGTGTTTAAACGCACAAAGGTCTCAGGACAAGTGCCATATTTGTTTCAAAACTGGAAGTATTGAATGACGCTTTACGCAAAGAAGAGTGTTACTTGCATTACAAAGTTGAAAAACTGCGTCATACTTTGTCCGATCGAAGAATCTTTGCGCTAAAGATCGTTCATCTGTAACACTCGGATCTAACTGCTAGGTTCCTTTGCAGTGCATGTTCGAAGCAATTGTAATAAAGTAAAAGATCGAAGAAAGCGAACAACAAGTAGAAGGATGGAAACTTTCATTATAGCGAGGCAGGCGTAATCCCGATCAAATCTGAACAATAACTAGCGTGTGAAAATAAAAATTCTGTTGCCATTCTATTAGATGCTTTTGTCTGGCAGGAATGCAACATTTCAAATTCGCTTGACAGAGTTACGCCATTCTGTCAGTGCGTGCGTCTGACGCTTATAGGAAATTCAGCCACTGCGTCGTCTCGAAACTCATTGGTCGCAGTCCGCGGTTCTGCGATCGGTCGAACGGCCGTCGTTATCGCTCTCTCGGCGATTGTCTGTCGTCGTGGCCTCGTCTCTCGTGCTCGTCATCGTCTCGAGGGGTAGGCTCGTTTAGCAGGGACCAACTTCTTTTTTCTCTCCCAGCCACTTCCCGTGTACGAACTACCACGTATCGTTGCGGACGGTTTTTGTCTTCCTGTTGTCTCTCTCCTGACTGACATTCTGTCTCTCTCTCTTTCTCTCTCTTGTAACGACCTCTAACACCAACTCGATTCGTCTTTCTCGCTCGCACGCGTCATAATTCATAACCTAACTGCCGCTCTTCTTCCCTCTGGCCACACTCTCGCCGTTGGTATTCCTCTCCATCCGTTCTGCCGGCTCCTTATCGTCAGCTGATGTCTCCTCGCCTTCTCTCCTTTTGCTCCGTCTTCGTTTTCGCCCCTCTCCTCCCTCTCCCCGTGTCCGACGCCCTGTTCCGCTCCTAATCGTCCCGCTCGTGGTCGCCGTGAACGGGCCGTCGTTATCCAAAGTCGACATTTACGCTTCTGGAATGGACGCGCAGCTACTTTAAAAGTTGGTACTTTTACTTACTATCGTAAAGGTACAGGCTACCTATTTCAGGTACACACGTGTACATAATGTGTAGTGAAAGAAACCGGTGCAATTTTTGATACCTGCGTTTCTGCTTCTGCACACGTATTTAAATGCGCCGTCAAACGTGAAGTTTCGTGTTGTCTTCTTTCGACTTAAAATCGATTACATAGGAACGAAGGAATCTCGATCTGGGTTCGCTAAAGCGCCGTTTCTTACGTCGAATGCGCATTCACATATTCGGTATAATGATTGCGTCAAGCCGACAAAGTCTCTGTCATGGTTAAAATCGTCCATCTCTTGATCGTGATGTTCCCTGAACTAAAGAATAATAAGTACAGACTGATAGGTACTTTAGAACATGTGTGGATATATGACTCTTGTATTTCGCCAATACATCATTACAAAAATACCGAATCGATTATTGACGGTGAGATTTTCAATTGGAGTAAACAGTTATAATTGCAACGAGATTTTCGTTTACTTTAGGAACAGGGAAATGCCTCGTCTGAAATCTCTGGTGCACATCGACAATCGTCTGTTATATTTAGAAATTTTCTGAACTAGAGACTGTATTAAGAAAAGATGTCGTGTACACGTCTATTAAAAACACGGGTTTTTAATTCTTTAGAACACACGTATTCAAAACCGCGATCTTTAGAGTAAGGTAGGCCATGTTTCACGCTCATTTTGAGGATCTTTCGGAATTTCAGAGTCGCTGGAATTATCGGCTTCTCTCCAAGTTCTCCAATTTCGTTCGCTGTAAAGACGAGATAACGCTTGTCAGCTCGAGAGATAACAACGTTTCTTTAGAGCGCAACAAATCTCTGCCTTTCTCCGTCGCAACGTAACGAATGTAACACGTAATACTAAAGTTTGCGATTGGCGTCAACTATCTTGCGATTTCATCGAGCTTCCTCCATTGGTGATAACGATGACGATTTTTCTATCATCCCATTTGCATCACACATTGAAACGTTTCACAAAAGGTTTTAGTTAACCTTCACGCTACCGATTCTTTTTAGTTTGTTCTGCACGAAACACGTGCTCCAGTTTGTCAAACTATTATCCAATAACTCCAGTATTGTTGTCAATGATAATAGGAGATGTGGTAATTACAAGAAATAAAAGATTCAAGACTGAATTTTTCGACCGTGGATAGGAACGAGGCAAGATCCACGCGTGGCAAACGATCCCAAAGTTCAAAGAGATAATCGAGAAAAGCGTCGTATCGCCGGAAGGTGTTTTAAGGATAAACGCGGTTTCAATGCGCCGCCTCGCAATAATTGCCGAGTAATAGTAATCGCGATCATCGCGGTGGAAAATTCCCGTGGTAATAAATCGCTGCTCGCTATCTCTGCACACCTCGTGCGCCTCCATACTTTGGCTAATTAACTGCTCGACGCTGAAACGGCGGGCAACTGTCTGCTAAGTCGTTTCACGTTTCGTAAATTCCGAGAGAAATCGCGAGAAAAGCGACGGTGAAACAAGGGGATGGAAAGAAGAGAAGCGAAAATAAGAAGCGGAAGAAAGATGTATGTGTGTGTGTGAAGTGAGTCGCAAGGACGCGTTAACGTGAAAAAAGAAGGACACGGAACAACCGAGGCGCGGAAGAAGGTGGAGCGGGTGCAGAAGCAGAAGCAGAAGCACAGAAGAAGATGGAGAAGAGAAGGAAGCGACGAAGAGATGGCGGAACATGAAGAGGAGATGAAAGAGAAGAAAGAGAAGGAAGAAGAAGAAGAAGAAGAAGAAGAAGAAGAAGCAGTCGATGGTTTTAGTGGCTGCAGGCGTCGGCGTCGGCGAGCACGAACGAAAGAAAACATAAATAATCGCGTTCAAATGAGACAGAGGCGGGAGAGGGGAAGAGGAGGAGGTGGCCCCTCTGGAAACCACACACGGCGGCTGTGCGCGTTGGCGGCTGGTCGGTTGGCACACACGCGTGTAGTACTTACTTACGGCCACCGGGACACACACGGCCACGCTTCGATCCGCTTCGCGCGCGTGTCGAACGCGCCGAACGACGAACAGAGCTCCGCTTCGTTCGCGAGGTCTGTTCGCGGGATTCGTTGTTCACGACGACGCGGATTCACCGCTGGAAGAACCGACGATAGGCGCGATGCCTCTGCGGACCAGACATAGAATAAGGAGAAGAATCATCAGAAAGAAAAGAGGCAGAGAGAGAGAGAAGGAAACTTTCGGGAGCGTGACAGCGTGCAACCGGCACTAAATAGCGGCGGTGATGTGCGCCGAGCAGCTTCCAACCGAGAGCGACCCCTTCTTCGATGAACGCGTCTCTATTAAATCTATTATTAGTAGCAGACCGGGTGCGAAAGCATCCCTTTCAATTACCTACGGCTTCATTTTGCGGAGCTTCTGCGGAGGGAGCGTGCACGCGGCAGAATCGGGACACGCGGCGCGGGAATTTTCTCGCCACCTCTTTCTGCTTCTCTCTCTTTTTCAATTTTCGATCTCGAGGCTTGACGAGTGAATTATTTTATCATTGCTACAGCCGTTTAATCCAGAAGATTCAACTTTGAAAGCTTAACCTTCGCACTGTTTCCCGCAGAGGTGGTGCAGTAATGTATGAGATGTAACTTTGTAATGTTAGTAATTTTACAAAGTGGGATCGTCGCGTTTTGCGGAACCTTTGACTTGGTCTGTCATCGTTCGGGAATTAATTTTCTTGGATCCATTTTTGGCTCGATTTCATTTTATTAGAAATTTGTGAGACAATTCTCTGTGTTGTCATTAGGCTGCGGACTTTTATGCGAATTTTAAATTTCCGTGAACATTATTGAAGAAATGGAACCTAAATAAAAAATTGTTTCTACTGTGTATTATTATGACTAATAAATGTTCTTGATTTTACATATTTGTGCACGTTACGTGTATTGTGTGCATTCTTACATCTTCAAGTCTTTCATAAATGCATAAAAATCCGCAGTCTACTAGTTGTCACGTGTAGAAAGGAAAGACAACATAATAAGATGGGTTACACGACAAGTGCACAACGCTAGAATAGGGAAATATCTTTTTGGAATGACACGATGCCCTTTACCAGCTGGTTGAAATCCTAAAGTCATTACATTAACAAATGAAGACCGACGAACGCCGATACATAAACGTTTAATGCTACCAAAAAAATATCACTTATATAGTTATTGAATTATCGTCACAGTTTGATGAGAATGCCGAGTGACACTTGGCGTATTTTAAACGAAGCGAAACTAATAATCTGTTTATTACGTGTCGATCGTTCGTAACGCTACTCACTCGAATTTCTTTCGCGAGCAGCAACGGTTTGTGAATGAAAACGGTCGAAATTCCCCCGAGTCCGAGGAACACCGATCGAACACACACACACACACACACACGTACATAGAGAAATGCAATCCCATCCACGGCGTTGGCAAATTCTCTCTCAATTTTCATCGGCGCTCTGCAGCTGGACGTAATTGGCTACCTGTCGTTCGACAGGCGAACGTTCAATCCGTCCTTAGGCCACTCGAATTCGATCGAGTCGCGCCTTTTGTCCGCTTTCTCGCTGAAAATTACTTTCCTTCCGCGCTTGCTTCCTTCTTCTTCCTTTCATCTCTCGACTGTTCGAGATCGCACTTACGAGCGTCGACTGTCGCCGAGTATCGCGTGATCCAGCCACCGTGCATTTCGCCGCGCGGATTCGCGAATTCGGCGCCGTTGAATCGAGCAATCCGACGAAACGCGGAGAGGGCAACGACCTTTGTTGTTCGCGCGTCGACCGGTACCGGCGACAAAAATCTCCGCGCATTTTTTTTTTCACGATTCCCGTCCGATATATGTATGCACATGTACGTGTAGAGTAAAATATCTGGCGGGAGACTGCGCCGTTGGCTGGCTACGATTTATACGTTCCGACGATGGTTTGGCATCGAGAGAGCGAGAGAGCGAGGGGATATATCACGCGGCACGGTACTCGCCCGCGCGTCCACCGTGCACGCTGTAAATCGGTCTGGGAAGTGGTCCAATCGTTTGGTCGGACCGTGTCAGCGAAATCGTATAACTTGATCGCCGTTCTTGGACTAGATGGCCGTATACAATCGGCCATGGGGATTTCCCTTTCTTTTTTTCTCGGGATAAAGCGTGAAATCGTCGAGTTTTGCCGTTTCTTGGAAACTCGTTCGAGAGGGTGCAGAGTCGCGCACGACGCACACTTATACCTTTTGTGTTGGAACAGCAGCAGAAAAATACATTATACATAGGCAGCTTCGTTTATAAAATTTTTGTCCACTTATTTGGATCTGAACGGTGGTCTGTTATACGAACGAAAAATCACCGATAGAGAGGAGAATCAGCGCACTCCTAATTTGAAGATGATAATAATTCTTGTTCAGAGTTACGCATCTGTTTTAAATATTTTCGATCTTTCATAACTTCTACCTATTCTCCAATAGATCCAAGAAATTGTTTTATCTGAATAAAGTTGTGCGAGATCGTTCATCTCTCGAAAAGATATCGGTAAAAAATTGCAAAGATGAAAAGCGGTGGTCGATCCAACACGCGTCGTTCAATCTGCTGTTGTAAAAGAGGAAGAAAGTGTAGTGAGTCCGCGCGTCGAGTTGCTAAATTAATCGGTGCTCGTCGCGAGGCGATAGACGCGTGGCAGAGAATCGAGTCCATCGCGGATGGCGGATCGACAAAACGAGCTGCACGATATCAAAGCAAAGTAGCGGACGCGGACGCGAGTCGATTTCAAAGAGAGGCGTGTATACGTGAGTATACGTGGTGGCGAGTCGAGGCGAACTGTAGCTAGGCGGTTGATCGTAAAACGGAGAGAGCCGAAGGGGAAAAAGTCGCGAGGAGGAGTGCGAAGCGGAACGACGACGCGCCCGGTCCAAGTAGCTAGACGACGAGGACGACGCTGACGGCGGAGGTGGGCCAGATGTTTGGCTAATGATGTCAGCGGAATCGTAACTAAAACCGAGGCAGCTCCGGGCTTAGCGCGGCTTAGCCTCGGCTTTGAACGAAAGAGTCTTATTACCAGGCTGCACGTGCTGCTCCTGAGCGCGAAACCGTAGGGTAATTGGACCACCCACTCGACACCGACTCTCTAACTCCCGACTCTTTTCCCTCTCTCTCTCCCTCTCTCTCTCGTACACACGCTCGCACATACGCGCCGGCGAGCTTTCTTTCTCTTTCTCCTTTCTCATCCCTTCATCGTCTCTCTTTTCTAACCTTTCCATCTTTCGGCCTCCCTTCTCGAGAGTCTCCTTCTCGGTGAGAAGCGAACGAGAGCTAGTTTCTTTCACCAAAGCGAAAGAACGAATCTACGATGTCTAATAATTGTAAAAGATTACTAACCATTTGCATGTCTGTGAGCAAAGCAGAAAATCATTTGCGTATAAGTCGAAACGCAAGATACATGGGATCGTTGACGAGCGTTGACAAGTTTTATTTTGAGTGCAACTGGAAATTTTCACTTGGCAAAATATCCTAAATGATCACGTCGGCGATTTTCGTGACGAGACTAGGAAGATCATTATCGTTGTTAGATGGAGGAGAAGCTACATATATCAGGTCATTGTGAGAAACAAAAGGAGATATCAAACTGATTACTTCCAACGATTATTTCGAAAATTCAGGATTTTCCATTTTGAAAGATACTACGTATTGACGATGCAGCGTAAAGTATAATATCAGAGTGTAAGAAATAACGAATTTCGTTTGTAATCTTGCATCGTACAATAATTAAATTAAATTCCCAATAGCAGGATACTTGTACAAAAACTAAATATCACTGTCGACGTTTAAACATTCCCAGCTTCGAGAAGAAAAAGAAAGTCACTTTCACCGATTCCGAAGCTACGAAATCTTGATTTGGGACCATTGTACGACCACTGTCAGATGAAGAAAATCTTCCAACCGTCGTCGAGAGTTTACGGAAGCGTGCGACGGGAAGGATCTCGTCACCCCGAGCTAATTCGACGCGTAGACTTTGACCGATGCCACCTGCCCCCGACCATGTCGCCGCGTCGTGGGTGGCCTGATGGCGACGGTAACGCGAAACGGCCGAACACCCTCGCGGAGACGAATTAGGGTAGATTTCTATGGGATCGTATCGACGAACGAGAGAGAGAATTCTCCTCGATGAATTTCGACAGATCGCGAACTGAGAATCGTACGTACCCTTTCTCGTGATTCTTCGTTCTCTTGCCTCTCCTCTCGCATTTCTATCCCAAGCGCAACGCTAGATCGTTTCCCCGGCTTCTTCTAATTTTACGAGCCGTTGACTCTCGATCGATAGAACGAACCGTTTCGAAACGGCCGACCATTTTCCGATTCGCGCCGTTGCCCGACGGCGGCGCGCGAAGATGACGTAATTTCGTCGTCGTCGTCGTCGTCGTTCTCGTTGCCTCTCGAGCGCTGTTCAAAACTCGCGTAGAAGCGACGTCCCACGCCCAACATATCTCACATTTTCTGTTTCAGATCACGAAGCTGAAGATCGACAGCAACCCGTTCGCCAAGGGGTTCCGTGACTCGTCCCGTTTGACCGACTTCGAGAGGTAAATCTTACGAACGTGTTCGCGACGGGACGCGACGAACGCGAACCCTACGCGAGGGCGAATACGCGCGTAATCGAGCAGCTTCCCTTTCAGGGAAACGATGGAGTCGATGCTGGCCGAGCAGCAGTCGCTGAGGTTTCCCCATCGGCTCCCGTTCGAGATGGATCAGCTTCAGGCCGGCGCGGCGGCGGTGGGCAACCTCAGCCTGGAAGAGAAGGCACTGTGGGCGGCGCGGTCGCAGATGCTGCTTCGTGCCGCGGCGGCGGTCGCTGTCAGCCCGTACGCTCAGTTGGTCGGTCCGGCGGCCCTGGTGTATCCTGGCGCCTCGTCCGCTGCTGGGACTAGCCATCAACAGCAGCAGCAACACCAACAGCAGCAACAGCAGCAACAACAGCTCGGACACCTGTGGTGGGCCTCGTCGATAGGGCCGACGTTGTTCGCTGCCGCCCATCATCAGCAACAACAGCAGCAACAGCAGCAACTGGCAGGATCGAGCACACAGAGCCCCAGCACCACGGGTCCAGCGGCGCCTCGACCTCTCTATCCGTCGGCCTTGGCCCTGGCGCATCATCGTTTCTCCCCCTATCACATGGCCACCGCGGCGCCCAAGTCGTCCACGCCGATCGGGCCTTCGCTCTCACCCTCGCCCTCGCGAAGGGCGACACCGTCGCCGACCGACAGCCTCGGCAGAGACGGCCAGGATCTGTCGCCGTCGTCGTAGTCGACGTCGTCGCGGTTCCTCTCGGGCGCGCGCTTCCACGACCTCGGGACCATTCAACTCAATCCCCGCGTGCCAGACCATCGCGTTTACTCGCGCGTGTCCAACTCTCGCCGGGAATCGTCGTTGAAGAACTCGCGTCGGAAGAACTCGATCGTCGGAGGGAGGAGGAGGAGGGTGAAGACGAAGACGGTGCAACTGTATATACGGTACGGTCGTTGTTGGATCCCCTGGCCGCGCACGTACGTGCATTCTTGTAAAAGCGATCAATCGTATGACGACCTTTACTGTATATAGCTATACATATATATACGTACGAATTCACGAGACCCTAGGTAATATCGACATCGAGTTCGTGTAACATAAGTTGTATATTTCTTATCACGACTTATCGTTATCGTTATCGTTATTTATGTTTCAACTACTCCTGCGCTCGAACGCGTGGAGAAACGCGGAGCGTGACTGCCCCGAGGAGAGACGCCGCGCGTTCTTCTGCGCGTTCTCCACGGATGGAGGAAAATAGCTTAAGCGACGCGATTCATTCAGTCGCCGGTCGATCGGCGATTAGCGTTTTAGCATAGAGCGTTATATCGTTGATGCTTGTGTTGTGAAGATGCATAAGAAAATATCGCTGTGCAAGCTGCTCCCTTGTAAATAAACCCTAATAAACTCTTGTGTACCGAGCGTACAGCCCACCTATTCGTTTTCCGTTCCTATCATCGTCCTCGAGTGTCATCCGGTTCTCTCCAACACCAGGCGACTCGGTTTCGTTTCGTGCCATTTATTGTTTCACGGAACAAAGGTCGGTCAAATTTAGTATATACCTTAGTTCCCGTGTTCCAGCACGAGGAACATTGAAAACATTGAGAGAAGAAAGTAAGAAAGTAATGAGAATAAGAACGGTTCAAGTTCGGCATGCAATTCTGGTACAGATTCTGGTAATCTGGGAAGAATTAAGACGAGAACGGAAGTTGAGATGACGTGCAAGGGATATGACGTTTGTTTTGAGCGTGGCTACATCTATCGATCCATCGAGTCGATAATGTCACAAGTGAGCCGCGTACTGTTCCCTCTCGCTTCCGGTGAAAACGCGAGAACTTTTACTCGAACTTGTGCTGGAATTTCCAGATTCGTCGTCGGAAATCGCAACCTCCA